GGGGATAGCATCCTCGGCCAGGGGAATCTGCCAGTAGCCTTTGCACAGGTCTATGGTGGTCAGATAGCGTCCCCTGGCAATGCGATCTAGTAATTCGTCTACCCGAGGCATCGGGTAGGCGTCAGTGGTGGTCCGCTCATTGAGACGCCTGTAGTCCACACAGAATCGGGTGGTCCCATCCTTCTTGGGTACCAGGACTACAGGCGAGGCCCAAGGGCTATCGGAGTGTTCGATGACCCCCAGCTGGGTCATCTCCTGTATCTCCTTCCGCATTCCTTCCCGGACTGCTTCAGGGATACGGTAAGGGGGTTGTCGCAGAGGGTTCTGTCCAGGGGTTTCTACCTTGTGTACAGCTAGGGTAGTGTAACCAGGTTCTTGGGAGAAGGTCGCCTGCTTTTCCCACAAAAGCTGTCTTGCCTGGCCCTTCTCGGTAGCGCTCAATCTGTCCCCTAGCTGTACTAGGCTAGTAAGATCCGTCTGGGGGTCCCTCTCTAACAGGTCTGGCAAGGGTAAACTTTCTGTATCATCTGCAGCAGGGGCACATACTGCAGCGACATTCTCTGGTCTCTCCTGATACTCCTTTAGCATGTTCACATGGAAGGATCGCTGGATCCTTTCATCTGAACAGCTGGCTATAAGGTAGGTAGTATCACATATCTGTGCTAACACCTTATACGGGCCCTGCCAAGATGCCTGCATCTTGTTCGCCTTCACAGGTTTGAGCACTAGTACCTTCTGCCCAACCTGGAAAACACTGTCGGGCACCCCGATCGTACCACCTCTTCTGTCTCCCCTGAGCCACCTGGAGATTCTCCCTTACCATTAGGGACAGTTTCTCCATGCGGTCCCGGAGTTCCAGAACATATGGCACTATGGGGGTCCCTTCCTGCTCTGTCTCCCCCTCCCAGTGGCCTCTAATGAGATCTAGGGGTCCGCGGACCCTTCTCCCATATAGCAACTCAAAGGGGGAGAACCCAGTAGATTCCTGAGGCACCTCTCTGTAGGCAAACAACAGATGAGGCAGGAATCGCTCCCAGTCTCTGCAAGTGTCAGAAAAGGTCCTCAGCATCTGTTTGAGGGTGCCATTAAATCGCTCGCAGAGACCGTTAGTCTGTGGATGGTAAGGTGAGCTAAGCAGCGGTTTAATACCGCACACCTTCCACAGTTGCTGGGTGAGCACAGCGGTGAATTGGGTTCCCTGGTCAGAGAGAATCTCTTGAGGGAACCCGACTCTGGTAAAAATCCTAACCAGGGCATCAGCAACTGTCTCTGCCTCTATATTAGACAGCGCTACTGCCTCTGGATAGCGAGTGGCATAATCCACCACGGTGAGAATATATTTCTTCCCGGATGGACTAGCCCTGGCCAGTGGACCCACAATGTCAACGGCTATGCGGGCAAAGGGCTCCCCAATGATAGGCATAGACATAAGCCTAGCTCTTGGGTGGTCCCCCCGCTTTCCTATCCGTTGACATGTGTCACACGTACTGCAGTATGTCCGCACAGCCTGATTGAAGTTTGGCCAAAAAAAGTTCTGCATGATCCTATAGGCTGTGCGGCGGGAACCTAGATGTCCAGCTAACGGAACATCATGCCCTATCCGCAGAATCTCCTGCCGGTATTTCGCGGGCACTACCAGCTGTCGATTCGGCGGAGGGGCAACACTCTTCGGGGAAAGCTTGGGGATCCTATATAACCTGTCCCCCACCCACTCATACCGTTCTCCATCTAATCCTTCCTCTCCAGTATCCGCTCTGTCCCTATACTTCTGGAGGGTCGAGTCTGTCTGAGTTTCCCTCCCAAACTCCTCTGGGGAGTCCCAGTTAACAAAGGTCGGTCCTAGGGTACCAGTCGGGGACTCGGTCCTTACCTGGGTCTCAGCAGCAGGTGGGCTGGTTCCAGCAGCACGGGTCTGGGCACGGGTAGTCACTGGGTTGATAGCGGCAGGTCCCATTGGAGCATAGGCGGACACCAAAGGGGCCAAGTCGTTCCCAAGCAAAACATCAGCCGGTAAGTCTTTCATGACCCCCACATTCACGTGTCCAGAGCCCACCCCCCAATCCAAGTGAACCCGGGCAACCGGTAAGCGGAACACTGCACCTCCCGCCACCCTCACTGCCACAGTATCTCCAGTGTGCTGGTGTTCGGACACAAGGTTCTTCTGGAGCAAGGTCATAGTGGCTCCGGTGTCTCTCAGACCAGTTACCGCTTTGCCATTTAGTTTAACGGTCTGCCTGTGCTGTTGACGGTTATCCTGCTGCGCTGCTTGTACTGGATCCGCCTCGTGTAATATACCCCAAAATTCCTCCTGCTCAAGACAGTGAGCGGAAGGTGGGGGTGGCTGCTGATTTCCGCCGGCTGGTCTTCTCCACGACTGTGCTTGGTTCGAATTGTTTAATGGGCACTCGGGTCGCTTGTGCCCCAACTGCTTACACCCATAGCAACGGATCGGCTGTGAATAATCTCGGGCGTTGAATCGGGCTGGCTGAACGTAATTGTTCGCTGTTGGCATGGTGGGGGTGCGTTGTGCTGGGTGTTGATACACTGCAGAGGTTGGAGGGGCTGCTGGTTTGTACTCCACTCGGGTAGGGACCTTGGCTGCTGTCTGGTCCAGTTTCCTGGCATCAGTGTACTCATCAGCCAGACGAGCAGCTTCGGGCAAGGTAGCGGGTTTGCGGTCCCTAACCCACTCTCTGACTCCTACAGGTAAGCGGTCAAAACAGTGCTCCAACAAAAATACTTGCAGCACCTCTTCCCCAGTTACCGCTTGGCACCCTGCCATCCAGTGGGCTGCGGTGCGGTGTACTCGGCATGCCCACTCAACATAAGAATCACCAGCCTGCTTGTTAGTGTCCCGGAATCGCCGCCGGTATGCCTCAGGGGTCACAGCGTATCTGGCCAAAAGGGCATCTTTCACTGCCCTGTAGCTGGTAAGTTCCTCCTCTGGGATGGCCCGAAACGCCTCACTGGCCCGGCCGGATAACTTCCCAGAGAGGATGGGGACCCATTCTCCTGCGGGTACCTGGTGCAAGGCACATTGCCTTTCAAAGTCCGCCAGGAACCCATCAATTTCTCCTTCGGCTTCTACAAAGTTCCGAAATGCAGCAAAAGGTACTTTTCTCCTTCCATTATTATTAAACGGTACCTCAGCTGCTGCAGCGCCTCTTCCTTGAAGCGCCTGTTGTGCTGCTACTGCCGCTTGCACTTGCACCACAATATCTGCTGCGGGGTTGGGGCCAAAATGTGCCAGCCTGATCTGAACTGCCCGGTTAAACTGTATCTCCTCGGGTGTTAACTCCAGTATGCCAGGCACATCAGCTCTTCCCGTTCCCTGTGCTGCATCCATTTCCAATAGTATGGCAATAATCTCTCTTTTCTTGAGATTACTCGCTGATCGTCCTCTGCGTTCCAATATATCTTTAAGGGTAGCACGCCTTAATTCCTCATACTGCATTTCCAACCTGGGATGTGTAGCTGGCCTTCTGGGCTGTAGGATTCATCCCGTCGCTTGCCACCAATTGTTACGACACGTACCGTCGGGTAGATGAAGCCGCCGTTTAGGCAATAATCCCCTTCTCCAGAAATGCAGGTTTAAATCCAGCCGATCGCCAAACTCCCGAACGAAGTCCGCGAACACGGCAACTCCCGATCAGCCAAACAGTCGAACGCCTTCCACAGCTAGAAATAACGAAAGCGCTGTCCCAATAATAATTCCCCCCACAAACGAGACCAAGCTCCGTCTTGAGGGTCAAATGAAGATCTGTTTAATGGGGCTACCTGCCCGGTATTTATGCAGGTCTCCACAAGGTGGACACTCCCCGAGGGGACCTTGTGGAAGACTGTAACACATATTGTACAGTAGCCAATCGCAGTGGCTTCAATAATAGCCCTTCCCATCTTGCCCATAATTCCGTCTTCTTTACCTTGGAGATAATTGGTGAAGAAACCTAATTATCTCCCAAGGTAGAGACCATCGCCATCTTAAGTTACAGTGACAAAAGGACATTAAAATACACAACTACAGAAATACCGAATGCATATGGTTCGTGTAACGTATCCCCAGACAGCCTGGATCTGAGGGCATGTTTTCACCGAATAGCGCTCAGATCCGATGTATCTAGTCGAATCGCCATGGAGTCAAAGTCTTTCACCAGTCCTTCGGGATACGAATGACTCCATGGGATGGCTGTCGGGGTAAAAGTCCATACGACTGAACAAAACTCCCGAACGACCGACGTTCGCATGCCTTGTCGAAAAGGAAGGTAGGCAGCAGCTTTTCAGCGGTGTTCGGTAGTTTAAGTGTCCGTTTTTAGGTCCATACAGTTTGTACCGAACACCGCTCTGTGTTCGTATGTCCCAAAATGGCCGCTGCCTCGTGGTCGACATGCGAACGACGACCACCCGTACGAATGGAATGGAGAGGTGTCTGCGGTTAACCACAACGTTCTAATTGGGGCCAAGAGGTTAACCAGCAGCATACTCCTCTCCTGGGTGGCCGTTCGTTCGGTAGTTTCAATCGGCATTTTGCAAATACACGAACGGGGGTATATGAACAGGTAATTCCGCGAACAAAGGGAAACAGACGAACCAACAATGCAGATGAATCTGTCACAGATATCAAACAGGATACTGGCTTCTTTGGGGTTTGGGATTAGACATTTGGGCTAGGAACATGGTTGACTTTACTAATTAAGAAAATGTTGTACTTTTTGCTATTAGCTGTATTTGTTATTATGGATATTTTTCTAACCTTTAGATTCTTCTTATGTCTACTAACCTCTCTATGTAAAAACAAATCTACTGTTGGTCAAACCTTAACTTACATTCCAGTTCCGACTTTGGGACGTTTTTACGTCGTTATCTCGCCTAACAAGTGAAGGAACTCTCCTCAGCTGATTCTGGTGGTCTCTCAATCCAAATGAACCGTGGAAAAGAAATAAATGAAAGTCTCACAGGCTTTGGCTAGCAGGCCTGGAAATACCTTGGACATTTGGGTGACTCTTGGATCAAAAGAGGGAATTGTGAAAGAATTTACTTTGATTCCAAGGTTCAAGCTTATAGGTATCATATTAGATATCCATTATTAAAATTGGCTAACTTGGACTCAGGAAATGCTTAATGCTTAAAACAACACTTAAGACCATATATGTCTAGTACCGGGAGCAGATAGCCCCCACCTGAGCTGTCTCTCCTAAATCAGTCTGTTCTTTCTCTATCTCAGAACATACCTGTTATATGTACATGACGTTCATCCCTATGTCTTATCTGTACTCCTTTCTCCCTTTCACTCTCTTCCTACTACTGTCCTATGAGTATTTGCATGTAATGTATAAAAAAACTGACAAAATAAAGGTCAGAGGCTTATTTTGATTACCAAAAGGTGTCTGGTGTCTGAATTCACGCTTCTCCAAGTGCACTTGAAATAATAATAATTTCATCTATATCCGTATATACACAGATTAACCCCTTAAGGATGTTGGACGGAAAATTTATGTCATTGCAGTAGTCCTCTTAAGGACGCAGGACGGAAAATTTCCGTCCAATAATAAAATTAACCCCATAATGTCACAATTGTGGCAATTGTGGGGTTAATGTTCTAGTAGTGAATCTCCATGTTAGAGGCACACTACAGCAAGCAGTTTCACTGATTCAGCCCATGTGATCGCTCTGACCGGGAGTCAGAGCGATCACACGTGCTGCATTGAAACACGATCTGTCTCCCTGCAGCTCCCTGTGAGCAGTGAAGTGCAGAGAGACAGATTGGTGCTGTAAAAAAAAACAAACCTGTTAGTTATAAAATGCCACCCCCCTCACCACTTTCACATTAAATGTAACCCCTTTCCTGGACTTTGATCACTGTCTGCAGTGATCAAAATACAGATAACAGTATTTCACTGTGAAATACTAAAGGTTAACTTTTATTTTTTTTAATCCTCAGCGGTTAAATTTATTTAGTTACTTAAATATTTGTAAAATATTTAATTTAGCTAGGATGGGTAGAAGTTAGTGGGGACATTGGGGGATTTACTGTTAGGCTAGTTAGGGGTTAACAGTATAAAAAACTTTTAAAAAGTAAAAAAAAAAACACTTTTGTAACGTTTAAACGAAGTCTTAAAATAGTAAAAAAGTTGTTAAAGTTAAAAAAAGTTTTTAAAAGTTAAAAAAATTGTAAAAAAGGAAACAAATGCGTATATCTCTACACTTGGTACAGACTAACAAAAAAATTATACCACGTTAAAGTTTCAAATATGCCTTTTGAAACACCCTGGGGTGTCTTCTTTAGGAAATGGTATGCCTTTGTTAAGTAATTGGAAAACGCAACCTATTAAAAGAATTCCAAAGTGGGGCATATACCCAGCGTAAAAATTCAAACTTAAATAGCTGTGTCTCAAATGTGCCCCTTCAACGTTGTCAAATACCTGGCAAAGGTACATATGGAGATATTGCCGTACTCAGATGACATAGTTGAGCAACATATGATGTTGCAAAATATATATTACAAACTCATTGTGTGTGTCAAAAAGGCATAAAAAATGCTTATTACAACTTGTGACTGATTGGCTGCCATCCCAACGGGTGCCTCCGTCAATCAATGCTCCTAGTGCTTACCGAGGACTCCAAGCACTCCACCAGACACCATCAACACTGTAGATCCTCACGGCCTTAGCTTCGCTGGGGGTCTCGCCGTCCCTTCCCACCCTGGACCAAACTCTTGGATCCAGATCCCAGTGGCAAACTCCGAAAAAGTATAGCTGTAAAGCTCTTATAAGAGGTAGTGATATAGCTTGTATATCAGGACCCTACAAACACAAAGCAAGGCTCTGTGTTGAGGGTAAAGCAGGACTCAATTTTAATGGTGCCACACTGGCCTTTTATGACAGTCCTCATGCAAGGGGTACGCCCACATGGACCTTGTTGGGGACTCCAACACAAAGACACAGACCAATAAGAACAGTGATTACATGCATGACATTCCTGTATACAATATAATAAGCCTTCCCCTTTATTATGTTATTTTATTATGTTATTGTCTATATAGTGCCAACAAATTCCACAGCACTTTACAGTGGGTGGACGAACAAACATGTAGTTGTAACAAGACAAGTTGGACACACAAGAACAGAGGGGTTGAGGGCCCTGCTCTAGCTTACATGCTAGAGGGAGTGGGGTAATGTGACACAAAAGGTAAGGATAGTATTAGACTAATGACAGTTGTAAGAGAGGAATCAGTCGGGAGTTTGGCAATAGACTGAACATGAGGCATGAAGAAGAGGTTGGAGTCAAAGAGAACACCTAGGCAGCAAGCCTGCGTGGTAGAGCTGATGTTAGCACTGTTGACTTGGAGACAGACAGACAGAGGAGTAGCAACACTTGAGGGAGGAAAGAACAGAATGTCAGTTTTGGGCAAGTTGAATTTAAGGAAGTGGGCAGTCATCCAGTTAGAATAGCAGAGGGACAGGCAGAGACACTAGTCAAGAGGGACAGGGAGAGATCAGAAGAGGACAAATAGATACATCCGCATAGAAATGATATTGAAGCCAAAGGAGCTAATGAGTTTACCAAGGGAGGCAGTATAGATGGAGAACAGAAGGGGACCAAGGACTGAACCTTGGGGGACATCAACAGAGAGGAGTTGGGGAGAAGAAGCAGAGCCAGAGAAAGAAACACTGAAAGAGTGCTGGGAGAGGTAGGATGAGCACCAGGAGAGAGCAATATCTTGTAGACTGCTATTGAGGAGGATGAGAAGAAATTGTTGATGATCAGCAAATGATCAGGGAGTGAGGTTAGGGGAAGTATTGTAAGAGGAAGAAGAATATGATATCTCTTCTCTGATTGTAGAGATCTTGTCAGTGAAGTGAGTTGCAAAGTCTGAGGCGGTCAAGTTAGGTAGAGGAGGAACAAAAAAGAAGAGTTAAATGTGTGAAATAGTCATTTGCGGGAGAGTGTAGTTATGAGGGTATTGAAGTAATTTACTTTTGCAGAGGAAAGAGCCAAGTTGTATGAGTGCAGTATAAATTTATAGTGGAGAAAGTCAGATGCACAGTGAGACTTTCTCCAACAGCGTTCATCAGTTATGGAGCGTTTTTGGAGATACCGAGTCAGCTTGGTGTGATAAGGTTGTTGTTGGGGGTTTAAATGTAGGAGGTGCCATGTTGTCTAGTTGAGAGGAGCGGGTGGAGTTGTAGAAGGAGGTTGCAGAGCTAGGACAGGTGAGGTTTGAGATAGGTAAAGGAGTGTTTGGAGATTAGTGTAGAAATACTCTAGGTCAAGACATTGGAGGGGTCTGTGAGATTGATGTTCAGACGGTGGAGTCAATTGGGTCTTAGGTATGCCGATGTCAAAACACATAACATCCACAAAAACAGTTACATCCCCTTATAGCCCTGATCTGGGTGACCAACATATCCAAAAATCACCCAGATCAGTTCAGGGGTTCAGGAATTTCCTAGAAGTCATATTTTTTACCGACCACACACATGGTCCCATGCCCAAAATAGTTCCATGAAATCAGTGCTAATGGTCAGTCAACTTCAGTAGTCTTTTACAGGTATCCCTGCAGGGCACATAGTCTGTGGGAAGAAGGCTGGCAAGCAAGCTCCTCCAGGAGCTCGTGGCACACTCACTTGGGAAGGGGAGTTTGACACAATACCATTGTGTGGGATTTCCATATTTACAGACACTAGATTAAGGCATTGTTTAGCAGATAGCTACCTTATTTGGTGCCTTTAAATATGGTATATCTACCAAACAGATAAAATATTAAAATTAAGGGGTGTCATTAGCAAGCCCAGAACAAGAATTCCAGGCGACTAATGTGAATTCTGTGCAAATTTTGTTTCTGACGCCAGCATGGGCATGCATGGGGCTAGACAGTCGGTCTCATTCACACTCCTGTGGAATTCACACTCCTGTGGAATTTTTAAATATTCTTTATGTTCAGATTTCATGTGAAAAGTTACAGAAATTGAGAAAAACAGAACAGTATAAGGGTGTAAATCATCTGTAAAGAGGACCAATGAGACCCGTTGTCATCTACATTTGATGCACATCTGTCACATTACAGATTCACTGTATATGGATGACGTGAGCGCGTATATTAGCCTAGTGACAGTCATCAGTAAATTCAGAGATCGATCAAACTGTGCTCAGGTCTTTTTGGGACTGGTGACCTCTCCAATGTTCAGGTGTCTAGTTTCGTGCTCCTGTTGGTGTGATAGTGAGGACACGGGAGTAGGTGATTGAAACTGGAGTGGGTACCGGTAATGGGTACTGAAAGAACAATGTGATCACTCAAATGCCGACTTTTAGAATTTCTCCCGATCTGTGAGCCACTTATAAGGGCATTGCTCAGTGAGGTGTCGGCTTCAGTGGGAGGAAGTAAGGGTAGAGGGAAGTAAGGGTAGAGAACTATGTACAGGAAGTTGTAATTCAGGTTTTGTGGAACAGTTGTGGTGTAGGTAAGTTAGCCTGTAACCGCGGCTGGTTCCCTTATTTACCACTATAACGTCTTAAAGCGTAGAACTTAGTAGGGCTAACCATACAGATATCTTAGCTATAATTTTATATAGTTAGTAAGAGATCCTCTATTTAACATATATAAATAATTGAGAATACAATATAAAATAAGGATTGTCTTGGAAGCAATAAAGTTTTGTCTTTTTAGATATTTATTATATAAAAATATAAATATAGACATATAAAATCCAGATAGCAGAGTTTATAAGATTAAACTAAATGCTTGCAAATATCATTAATAGGTTAACATACCCTTCTGAACATGTCATCATGTCAGCCTCTCTATCATTTTAAGATGGAGCAGCGTCTGTCTCCAAGTCTCTCCTCTCTCTCTCTCCCCAAGTCTCTTCTCTCTCTATCTCTTAACATTTAAAAGTACACCTATTTATACCTTAGGTCTCTCCATTTTAGGGTTACCATAGTTCATATATAAAAAAGTAACACTTCTTTTACTTTATTCATTTTAGGACCTCCCTTAATTTTGCAAACATACAAGTCCATAACTAAAGGGTGCATACGTCATGGAAATTTTCCTGACTTAGTTCAAGATGGCATCTTAAAGTCTGAACATCCTTATCTACTAAGGTTACCACAGTATTTTACGTACTGAAAGAGTCGTAGCATAGCCTTGAAGCTTGTAAGCTTGTTTATGCATTATTGTTATTGTAATTCGTCTGGGACAAAATGGCG